ACCGCAGGGTAGATTAAAATTAAAAATTTGGTGTTTTTCCTTTTGTCCGTTTTTTAGTTATGTTCAAAATTTCGAAATTTTCACTATTCCTCAATTTTCTCGAATACGGGCCATTTTAGGAAAATTATGTATGGGACAAAACTTATAGAGAATAATATTTCAAACAATTTTTATCCAAAGAAGTTTCTTTTCTAAGCGTAAATAATGGATATATTCCATAAAGTATGACTTCCCATAAAGTGCCCCCCTTCCAGATATTCCGACTATGCCCAAACTACATTTAGCTCACCGCAGGGTAGATTAAAGCTTAAGTTTATAATTTGGTGTTTTTCTCTTTATCCGTTTTTGAGTTCAAAATTTTCACTGTTTCTCAAATTTCTCGAATACAGGCCATTTTAGGATATTTATGTATGGGGCAAAAATTATAAAGAATAATATTTTAAACAACTTTTATTTGAAGAAGTTTCTTCTATAATCGTAAATAACAGATATATTCCATTGCATACTTGGATAATATATTCCAGGTATTGTTCAATTCTAAACAATTTTAATTATAATTGACAATGTTTGAAAATCCCTGTATGTCCAATTTTATCAACGATCAAAAATAACATTTTGCCGTTATCCACTGTTTAGCAACATTTGAAGTTTTTTTAAGGTAAATATTTTTACAGTATACTTTTTTTAAATAAAATTTTCGTACTGTTATTAATTTTTCTAATAACTTTATTTTGCACCTTCCTTTTGTCCTTTATGAGGGTTATTTGGAGAACATTTTTTACTTTCCCCTCTATGTGTGCGTAGGTCTCGGCGTAGGTGCGTGCGTAGGTGGATGCGAGGGTGGGTGCATGGGTGGGTGCGTGCGTAGATGCGTGCGCGGATGCGAGGTTGCGTGGGTACGTGCGTGCCTGCGTGCCTGTGAAAGGATTAGGAAAAAACACCAAATTATAAACTTAAGCTTTAATCCACCCTGCAGTAAGTTGTTTAGATTTTGGACATAGTCGGAAAATCTAGGGGGTACTTTATGCAGGGTCATTTTTCTACTTTATTAAATATACGCTTGCAGAAGAAACTTCCTTAAAGAAAAGTTGTTTGCAAAATTATTCTCTATATTTTTTGTTTTACACATAATTTTCCTAAAATGGCCCGTATTTGAGAAATTTGAAGATAAGTGAAAATTTCGAATTTTGAACATAACTCAAAAAGGGATAAAGAGAAAAACACCAAATTTTCAATTTAAGCTTAAACACATTCTGTGGTAAGCTGACTAAATTTTAGGCACAGTCGAAGCATCTAGGGGGGGAGGGACTTTATGGGGGTCGATTTTTTTACTTTAACGAATTTCAGTTATTTATGATTAAAGAAGAAATATTTTTGTCCAAAGTTTTTTGCAATAGCATTTTTTATAACTTTTGTGCTCGCTTTAGTGCCATACATAATTTTTCTTAAATGGTCTGTATTGTAGAAATTTAAAAAAAAGTACAATATTTGAATTTTTTAAAATGAACCGTATTCCAGATATTTTTGGAAAAATGCAAATTTCGAATTTCAGTTTAAAAAAGGAAAAGAAAAAAAACACCAAATATAAAAAAGTGTGTGGAAAATGTATGTATTTAGTTCATCCTCTAAACATTAGATTATACAAAATAACTGGAAAAAGCCTGTAATAACTAGATAGGAAAGTCATGTGTTGGACACATCAGAGTTTTATAGAGAATTGCCAAAGAATACCTGAGAATTCCTGGGAATACCTAAGAATTCCTAAGAATACCTGAGAATTCCCAAGAATACCTGGGAATTCCTGAGAATACCTGGGAATTCCTAAGAATTCCCGGGAATTCCCAAACAGAGAGAGAGATATGCTTTATTGTCGTAAAAAAATTTACAAAAATTTTATAGACAAAGCGTGTAACTTAAATACTAAACATATTATAAAAATAACTAAACAGCAGAAAAAACAAACAGAAACAAACAGACAAAATAGGAATAACAATTGCAATGGATATGCAATATCCGTCATTATAATTATTCTAATTTAATTATTAAATTTAAAATTTAAACTTTAATATTTAATTATTTAATTAATGCCATTGTATGTGGAACTCAAATGTCTAAGGTACGTTATAAAATTCTGCTACTGTGTAATATGGTCTTTCTAGAAGAAAAGCTTTAGCCCGTCTTCGGAACTTATCGTATGTATTTATAGATTTTAATTGCATCGGAAGGTTATTATACAATTTTTTGGCATTGTAGGTAATGGAATGTTTTAATAGGTCAGAAGTGGGCATTGTTAAATAAACATCAGTCTCTAAATTTCTTGTAGGATATCTACGAGTCGGTCTTTCGGATAAATTTTGAATGTGCTTGCGAACTAAGCAGACGGATTCGAAAATAAATAGAGCAGGAAGGGTTAGAATTTTGAAATTTTTGAAGTAATTTTCGCAATGTGTCCTACTACTTAAACCAAATACATAGCGGATTGCTCTTTTTTGCAGTTATAGATTCGAAAAGGTATAAGCTACAAGAACCCCAGAAAGGTAAACCATAGCGAAGGTGAGATTCGAATAAGGAAAAGTAGGTTATTAATGCAGTAGAAGGAGTCAGCTCTTTAGAAACCGATTTAATGGCAAAACATGCGGAGGATAATTTTTTTGCTAAGGTATCTATATGAGCAGACCATTTTAGAGAATCGTCTATATAAAGACCTAAAAACTTGATTGAAGTCACCGTTTGGATCAGATTATTGTTTAAAGTTATAGGTTGTAAAGTACCTCTGTAAGACAATGCTACAGTTTTACTGGTGTTGAAACAAAGTCCATTCGAATCAGACCAGGACTTAATAGTCACTAGATCTTCACTTATGATAGATTGTAATGTCTGCATGTTAGAATTATTCCAGGTTACACTGGTGTCATCAGCAAATAAAGTAATTCTACCACTTATTCTTAAGTCTGTGATGTCGTTGATGAATAATAAAAACAAAATTGGACCTAATACTGATCCTTGAGGTACTCCACTGCTTATTGCTAGATTTGTAGAATCCTCACCATTCGCCCGCACCTGTTGATTTCTATTTTCTAGGTAAGTTTTAAACCATTGTAAAGGAGAACCCCGTATGCCATAAATTTGTAACTTATTAATTAAAATATCATGATTTACACAATCGAAGGCCTTTGCGAAGTCACAAAATACTGAAGCGGTGAAAAGTTTATCATTAAGTGATGTGTATATTTCATTAAGAACGGAAAACATTGCGTCGCTAGTGCATTTTTTAGGTAGAAAGCCATACTGATGAGCTGTGAGGATGTTATGCTTGAAAAGAAAGGGCAAAAGACGGTTTTTCATTAGCCGTTCTACTATCTTCGATAAGGTAGGCAATAACGCGATAGGTCTATAGTTACAGGTTTTGGTTTTGTCGCCACCTTTATGAAGTGGGATTATTATAGCTGTTTTTAGACAGTTAGGAAAGAGACCAATTTCAAAGGATTCATTAATCAGTGAAGTTAAAATGTTGATTACTACATCCGGTATATTTAGAAATATTTTGGTGGACAGGCCATCAATTCCACAGGAAAATTTATTTTGGATGTTGTTTATGGTTTGCACTAGTTCATGCTTGTCTACTGGTCTTAGGAAGAAACTTTCAGTGGTCCTTTTAGTAGGTAGGAGAAAGGAGAGAGAATCCTGACTCGGAGCTATGTTAGATTTGATATTTTTACTTACATTTACGAAATAATTGTTTAGTTCATCTGGGCTAGGATTTACACTGTTTGAAGAACGGGTTTTATTCCTTAAGTCATTTATTATAGACCAGGTTTCTTTGGAGGAGTTTTTAGCTCTTGCGATGCGATTTTTGTAATAGTTTTTCTTAGCAGATTTGGTGATTTTCCGATACAATATTCTGTAGTTGTTGATATAGTTTAATATTAGGGGATTATCTGTGTACTTTTTAATATACATGAGTGACCTCATATTTTTAGATGATGTTCTTATTCCTTTAGTTGTCCAAGATTTATGACATTTAGTTTTAATGGGGCGAAGGGGGAAAGCTGTATTGAAACACATAATTATTTTATTTAAGAAGTCTAAAAATTTAGAGTCAATATCTTCAGAAAGACCATTCCAATCAGTAGTTAGACATAAATTATAGAAATTTTTGAAATTATGCTTAGAGAAAATTCTACCTAGCTGACGGACTTTTTTTGGAGCTGTACGGGGTATCAAAAATTTGGCAAATACTGCTTCGTGGTCTGAGAGACCTGAGCTAATTACTTGGTGCTCTACATCAACGGGTTTAAAATCAGAGACTACGTAATCTATAATTGTAGATGTTGTTTCTGTGATTCTAGTTGGAGAATTTACGTGCATAGTGAGACTGAATGATTCAAAAATATTGATCAAAGACTTTTGAATAGCACATACATTAGCAAAGTCAATATTAAAATCGCCGCATAAAATTTTCTTACTTTTTATAGGCAATGCGTCAAGTAGATTAAGAAGATTCTCTAGAAAGAGGTGAACATTTGATTTAGGTGTTCTATAAATACAAATAATAAACAAATCAATGTTTTTGTTGTTTACAATGGAAAATTCGAAGAGCTTGTAGAAAGTCGTATTTAGATACAGCAGAAAAGTCCTTGTCTAAGGATAAAATTAGAGTTCCACCATGGTCTGTATAACTTCTATCATATCTGCTGACGATAGTATATTTTTCGACAAAAACTGGTTCACCAACTTGTAACCAGTGTTCTGTAATAGCAACTATTTGGGGAAACCCTAACTCTTCCAAAAACAAATACAATTCATCAGTCTTACTGTCGGCATAGCCAGTAAGATGTACACAAGAATTCCCAATGTATTTACCCCTCGGCTAATCCTAGTGTTTATTGTATTATAAACAAAAGACGCAAATGTTATAAATAAACTTGGCAACAACGGCACAAAATTCGATAATCGAATACCAACCCCTGTCTGTATTGAATGACCAGTAATCAACTCACCTGACCATATTGGCCGCCTCCATTCTATCATTGAGAGCATCGTGGGAGGACTCCGTTTTCGTCGAGTCCTGTTGTTTGAGACCCTCTTCGCGCACCGCATCCGGTCTCCTATCAGAACCACTTCGAGATACCGGGTGTGATTGTTTTACCTCTACTGAAACAAAGGATAAAATTAATAATGAAACACGATAAACATCTAAAGTATTGTACATTGGATTTAACAGACTTTTGAATGTATGTTTAAAATCTATAGATAAGGATACCCTTTCTGGGAAATATTTATTGAAAAGCTCGATATACAGGGTGTTTCATAATATATGCGCAGGACTTCAGGACCTCATAGTTCGTCCAAAAATATGAAAAAAACGTTTCTATTAACTTACCCTCTAAAATGCACCATTTTCGAGATACAGGGTGTTCAAATTGAAAAAAAAATTTCTACGCCACTGGAAAAAGTGCGGTTTCAACCGCCAATGTTTTCTACACAAAAAAGGTACTCTTGGTTATACGCTCTAAAGTCGACCGTTTTCGAGAAAAATCAAATTTTGTTTCATTTCCAAAAATTGACCATGTATTGTAACATTAAAATTTGCGGTTCAAATGGGCTTCTCAAAACCGTATTTTTTCCAGTGGCGTAGAATTTTTTTTTTCTTCAATTTCAACACCCTGTATCTCGAAAATGGTGCATTTTAGAGGGTAAGTTAATAGAAAGGTTTTTTCATATTTTTGGACGAGAAATCACGTCCTGAAGTCCTGCGCATATATTATGAAACACCCTGTATATCTATTTGTTAATATAAACGCCACAATATAAGCGGAAAATAGGAGCCGAAACATAATTATTACTAGGTTATAAGTTCATTAACAACATATTTATTCCTTTGATATAAACTCTTAAAACCTAAAAAGGTTTCTTCTTATTTCTATTTTTTTTCGCAACTGATGACAATGAATTTTACGTAGCCAGTTTCATAATGTTCAACTTTATATAACTGGTTGTATAAAATAGATCGCTTTGATACTTGATGCGATCTCTTTATATGTCAAAATTAGAAACGATGTATTTTAAAACCAAATTTCAGCCTTTAAATACAAAAACATACCACATATTCCTTAGAACAAAATAAGTCGATTTAAGTAAAATTACCTTAGTACAAAGTTGCTTCGTTTGGGCTCCAGAGGGCCTTGACATTACAATTTTTAAATCGTTTTTGCCATATAAATTTAAAACGGCATATGCGATTTAGCTGAAATTTGGTATAATGGCAGAGTTTTATGTGGCAAAAAAAATGGTATTAAAATTTTGTCCGATAATAATACATAGGCGTAGAACTTGATTTTTTAAATAATTGCACCTTTAAAAATTCTACGCCAATGGAAGAAAAGGAGTTTGAGAATGAAATTTAGATTGCGCAACTGATTTACTTTAAAAAATGTACTCTTGATAAGACTCGATTACTCTCATGGTTTTGACGAAATTTGCATTTTAGTAATTTTAGAACATAAACAATAATTATTAAAATACAAACTTTGTCAAAACCATGAGAGTAAATCAAGTGTTATCAAGAGTACTTTTTTGTAGTAAATGAGTACCCAATCCAAATTTCATACTCAAACGCCTTTTTTTCCATTGGCGTAGAATTTTTAAAGGTGCAATTATTTAAAATATCAAGTTCTACGCCTATGTATTATTATCGGACAAAATTTTAATATAATTTTTTTTGCCGTAAACAAGTTAAAAATAGAATTAAAAATATTCTAAGGGTAAGTATTAACAATGAATTTTTAACATTCTCAGTTTGTGAGAAAAATCTGGGCATATACATTGATGAAGATTTATCCTTTGCGCAACATATCTCTTCTATAATAAAAAAATCTTTCTGTAATCTAAAGTTAATTTATTCTAATCGGGAATTTCTCAACAGAAATACCAAAAAGTTGCTTTGCGAAAGCTTAGTGCTGTCTCAGTTTAATTACGGTGACATTGTATATGGGCCTGCACTTACACAATTTCATAAAAACCGTTTACAACGAACTCAAAATGCGTGTGTTAGATTTATTTGCGGGGTTCGTCGTCGTACCCGTACATCTCAACATCTGGCTAGTTTGGGATGGCTTAATCTAAATAATAGGAGATTGTTACATGCCTATGTCCTGATCCATAAATTATTGTTATCAAAAAAACCTGATTATTTGTATGAAAAAATAAAAAGGAGATCTGAAGTCCATAATGTTAATGTAAGATTTAAAAATTTCCTAACACTTCCGAAACACACTACAACCTTATTCCGATCTTGCTTTTCGTATTTCACAGCCAAATTATTTAACCTTGTCCCTAAAATATTTAATATCACATCACTCTCAAGTTTTAGAAAAGTAGTCAAAAACCTTTTATTTAACGGAGATAACTTACAATTTTTAATTTATATTGTTAATTAAATTTAGTTTAACAATAATATTTCATGTTATTTCTATTTTTTACTCGTCACTATTGATTAATAACTACAATAACAACACAGATCTAGGATTTATAAAATTTGACCTTTGTTTTTATTATTTCTAAGTTTCCATATTAATTGTTTGTTTGCTTTCTTATTGAAAGCTAGAATTTCACTTTTTTTCATAGAAAATCTGTATGCATTACTTAATTATTTATATTTTTCTGGGTTGCGTGGAAGAGCGCTGCTTATTTGCTGGCTCAATCTTTGAGCTCGCCAGTAAGTGCGAACGTCGCCTTTTGTCTTTCAGTATTTTTTTTTATGTATATTTATATAATTTTGTATAATAATTTGTATGTATTGAAAGCAATAAAGTCATTATTATTATTATTATTATTATTATTAAAAATGTACTTTTTCTACACCCGTATTATAATAATGCACTTATATGCCCATAATCCGTTTCATAATGATACCCATTATGATACAGATTTTTCATTACGATACAGATTTTTAATCAATAGAAACCTACAATTTTTCAATCAAGCATGCTGTTTGACGTTTGTCCTAGGTTCCTATGTAATTATTTTAGTTGTCAAAACGTATTAAATTTTCGTAGGTAGCTAAACTTCGATAATTATAATATTAAAATGTCTGATATTAGCGATATAGAAGACTCCTCCACACATATCGGAGAAAGCAGAAAATACAGTACAAAATATTTTACCGCAAAAATCTAGGGAAATACCAATACCTGAAGTAATACCATTAATTACAATTTTGTAGAATTTTTTATAGAAATACGAGTAATTACTGTTATTGTGTTCAATACCAATATAAATATAATATTTATAGGTCTTGATTATTTATCGGGTGTAGAAAAAATAGCGTATGCAACTCTCATGTAATGGTTATTAAAACACTCGCATAAACCATACGAAACTCGCCTTTGGCTCGTTTCGTATCCCGGTTAATGCTCGTGTATTAATAACCATCATTACATGATCGTTGCATAATATACTATTTTTATATCTTCTTCAACACCTCTAATCGAGACTTAACAAAAATACTCGATTCTTGCCATGTACGATTTTTTAAGGAATATTAATTATTTGCCTGCAATACGTATACAAAAACATTTATTGTTGGTATCCATAGTTTCATCTAAATAAAAATATTGTCAAGTTTTAACACCTAATCTCTTGTTAACGATTGAAAGTGTTCTATCTGACTCAATAATTAAAAAAACAAATGCGTGGTTTATTAATATGGCTGTACAATATACCAATGCAGAATATACCGATATGTTACTGACATTAGGATTTTGTGAAGGAAATGCTCGAGAGAGTGTCAGGGTGTACTCTGAAAGGTTTCCAAATCGTCGTGTACCTAGCCACCCAACTTTTGCTGCTGTTGAGAGACGTCTTCGGGAGACCGGTTCCTTTGCTCCCAACACTGTTGATAATGGAAGAGAAAGTTTTGTAAGGATTCCTGAAGTTGAAGAAGACATTTTAGAACGTGTTGAAAAAGATCCAGAATTAAGCACCAGACGAATTGGAAGGATGTCGTTCATAAAGTGCTTAGAGAACAATTGCTATATCCATACCATAAGAAGCCAGTACAAGAATTATTAGTCCATGATCCTCAAATTCGTTTGGGTTTTTGTCGATTTGTTAATATGCAAAGAGAAAGAGATCCAAACTTTGTCAAGAAGGTTCTTTTTACCGATGAAGCGGGTTTTACAAGAAGGGGCATAACTAATACCCACACGGAAAAAAATGTGACTAGAAAATTTTACTACAATGTTGTAGTAGTAGACTTGTAGAAAAATACTTAACAATTTGTAGAAAATTTTACTACAATTTATAGTTAAAAACTATTCATTATTGTAGCAATTGAATTGTCGAATAAAATGCTACAACAATAGGAAAGAATTCCACAATGTTTAGTATATTTTACTATTGTTTGTAGAAGTAGAAATTTATTACAATTATCGTAATTACTACTACTAACTTCTGAAAAAATTTGTACAAATATTAATAATTATCTCTACAAAAAATAGTAATTTTCTCTACAAAAAATAGTAATAATTTACATTCCTTCTTATGAAAAATATTCAATTTTGTTCAAAAATATTCTATAATATTGTAGAAATTCTAAGTCATGTGAACAAAACAGAATTCTGCTATTGGCCAACGTTTTCTGACGTCGATCATAAATGGCCAAACAGCAGTAGCCGTTCGCCATGTTCACATAACAAAGCATGGTACATATACGAGTACCTATAACACATTATTATATTATAAGCACCGATGCGTTTGAGAAAATTTTAATAATAAATTCTATTGGTGGTAAGTACATTTATTGTTTTTGAATAATTTACCTTTAGATAACTAATTTAAATAACCTTAGTAGATTATTTAAAAAAAAATAGTTGTGGCCAACGATCGAATGTTGTGCCCAAGATCGAATTTTGTGCCAAATTCAATGATTTTTTTTGTCTTATTTGTGACATACCTACTTTCTCATTTTTGTTAGTTATCTGACTTAGTCATTTAATATCCAAATCAGTGTAAAGGTGATAAATATCCCCGTTTTAAGGGTATGAACAGTTCAATTGTTATTAATTTTTATTTCATATTTTTCAGGTGCAGAAAAGCCAACTGAGACTGAGGGTGCTATTATTACTGTTATTTATTACATAATGTAATTA